GTCGTCAAATTCGTCAAACTCCAAATCTTTTTTAACTTTGTAACTTTTCAGAAGAATAATGTCATCGATAACTTAGCGAAATGTAAGTATCATCAAATTTTATATCTATATATGTTATTATCGCAAACGAAGCCATGAAAGGCATATTTTCGCGAAACTTGAGAATCGTCGATAAAATTTTGACACAACTTTTGTATTGATCAGGATTCAACTAAACTCGGACCAGGAGGAAATATTCCAGTTTGCCTCTAAAGGCCATAATCTGCTTATAACAGGTCAAGCCGGAGCTGGAAAAAGCGAAGTTGTGACTAGAATCATTAGCGAACTGAGATCTCAAGGCAATGATGTAGGTGTTGTATGTTCAAGCGGCATTTCATGTAAGGTTTACGGAATCGGAGAGGCATCCACTGTTCACTCGTTTTACGGACTAATGACTGCAGAGCTCTCATGGCATCAGCTGGTAGAGAGGTCTACGGGCAATTCGGTCATAGTGGACAGATTACGCAAAATAGATGTCATCGTGTGGGACGAAGCAAGTATGTCCAGTCAACGGATGTTGGAACTCGCGAACTTGCTCCACCGCGAAGTATCACCATCCACAAGCTATGCGTTCGCTGGAAAGCAAGTAATTTTGGTGGGCGAGTTTCTACAATTACAGCCTGTTCCCAGCCTATTTGACGAGGGATGTTTTATGTTCAAAGCACCGCTCTTTGACGCTGCCATAACACATCGGTTTTCTTTGACAAAGCTGATGCGCCAAGACGAAAACGACAAGATGTTTTTAAATGCCCTGACTAATCTGAGACTTGGAAATTGCTCTGAAGATTGTGAGACATACTTAAGATCACTCGAAAGAAAGTTATCTCCGACGTTAGAGGAAAAGGCYACTCACATTTTCTTCAGAAAACTACCAGTGGCGATCCATRATAGGACGGAAATASACAAAGTCCCTGGGGAACTGTTGGAGTTCACTGCCTCATACGAAAACGATGTATYAAAAACWATGAGTTGGYCGGGTWCTRACACTCTTTATTTGAAAATAGGATGCAAGGTAATGCTTGTATGGAATCTGTCTGACAGTTTAAAAAATGGAAGTACTGGTGTTGTAGTTGGTGTCAGTGAAGATCGAAGTCAGGTACAAGTTCTGTTTGATGGAGTCGGAGTGGAGAGCATCCGCGCTCAAACGTGGATTAAACGTGACCGGGCTGGTAAAAAAACAGGCAGTGTGACACAGTTACCATTAGTGCTGTCCTACGCCGTGACGTGCCACAAGTCGCAAGGTCTGACACTACCAGCCGCTATTGTACACTGCTCCCGTGAATACGTCTCTGGCCTTATCTATGTTGCTGTGTCAAGAGTTAAATCTGCTACACACATTCAAGTTCTTGATTTCAGTCGCCGCCAACTGCTAAAACCACAGAAAGAAGCTGTCGACATTTGCTCATCACATCAACTATGCAATCCCTTGCCTGATTTTTCCTGCTGTAGACGTCGCACACTAGACGATGAATATTTTTGCGTACACGACCGTCACCAAGAGCTTCCTGATGACACTGAAGTGCCACTCCCTTTTCCWTCAGACACCTCAGATGGCCCAGTGCGAGCTAGTTTTGAAGCTAATGATGTGGATATTGGCATCACACTAATGGAGACATATGAGGATCTCATTRCCAACGAATCACAGCTCGAGAGTCCTCCAGTTGGGTGTATCGATAAGTGCCTGGAATACCTTAAAAGTGAGGTGTTGGACGACCCGGTGCCATCTCCATTTGCAGAGGGGACGAATGATGCTATACAGTATTTACTGCGAGAGACGAATAGGGACAAGCTAATTCGATTTGTCAATGTAACTTGGTATGAGTGTTACCTTTTGATGAAGAAATATGTGGTCGAGAATCCTGATGAGGTAATAGTACACATCGATCGTAGGGGGTTTACTGAGGCAACGTCAAGCCTGCACGAACTATTTGCCAGCCCTCGCTTTGCTAAATACGTTTGCTCTGTCTTCGACGAAGCGCAATGTTTGCCACCTCAGAGAACAATTCTAGTTGAACTAGTGAGATCCTGCATTTTCTGGGAATTTCTTGGCGCACTAGTCCCTCTAGTATCATCTGCAGTAGACCAGCGAAGGCATGGGTGTGTCGATTTCAACGTAGACAGTATGAGCGATGTAGGAAAGTCTAAGGTGCGGCACGTCGGTGGATGGGCGGTCAGAAAAGTGTTGATGCTTTCCAGAAAGTATATCAAAGAGAACATTAAAACCAAGAATAGCTCAACTCTAGCCACAATCAAAGAAAAAGAGCTAATGTGTCACCTTATAGAAGAGAATGTCATACAGCCATATATTGAACTTGAAGAACACTCGAAATTTCCAGAAACCCTTGTAGTCACCGAAAACAGGCAGTACCGTGAGAGAGGACTACTCCACATCTCTGACGAAGCTTTCAAATTTTTCATGGAGCTGGAAAAGAGGAGGGTCCACCTCTTAAATAGTCATACATTAAGACATAACAAAGAGAAGATGGTGGAAGTAGCTCTTCATGCATTGCAAGAGGATGAAGCATTGATGACGTCATGGTTGCTGTGCTTCAGTGAGGACACAGTCATAAAAAATAAGGTTAGTCAAGTGGAAACGATTGTTCAGACATGCAAGTATATTTGATAATTGTCATAATCATTTCTGCTGTATTTGATTTATTTTATAGAAGGTACTCAAGAAAATCCTAGAAATTATTTTTGAGGGTTATACAAAGATGGGGGCCTCTCAATTTTTGAGAGATTTTAGAAGACAATGGTCTATCAAGAAAACAGCTGAGTTAAGGAAAAGAGTCCTCCAGAGGAAAGAGAAAGCAAAAGAAAAAGCCGACAGTGTACCAATTGATGTGAGTTTAAAATTTTCAGTAACTGAGATTCTTTTAATTAGAATATTCAAAGGTTTACAATTACCCTAGATGTATTGTAAGAGATAACTGCCTATTTTCAATTTATCAATAAATGCATCCAAAATATAAAAAAGGTATATTTTGTTATAATGACAAATCTCATAAAATATATTTCAATATGTACAAGGGTGCATGTATCCAGTAAATATATATATGGAGGGGATACAGGCATTTTCTGATTTTGCATTTTGCATTATATTGTAGCATGTCTACATTCGGTACAAACATTTTTTGTTCATTCTGCAAATGATGGCATATGTTTGTACTGATCAGCATATGCTTGACCAGTTCTTAAATATATTATATTATATGGTGGACAATATAGATCTCTGATGCATTGCGATAAACTCATTTTATAGGACATCAAGAAAGACCACAGTGATGGAAAGAAAGTTTCTCATTCTAGGCTTGTTGCCTTTTTAAGTCAACATGACAGTCATGAAGCACTGAGCCGCATCTACAAGAAGAAAGAGCTCAGTGAGCTATGTGTGGCATATGGTTGTCCTGTGATTCCTGCAAATTCAAAGAAAGAGGTTTTTTCAAGACGCCTGCTAACAGTCATTCCTCAGAACAACTGCATCCCTTTTACTGCTGAGCTAGATAACAGAGCTTACCATATATCCGAAAGTACAGATACTGATGGTCACATAAGAYTGCGAATATCTAGAGATAGATTATAAGTACAAATTTTCTTTGGAACACTTTGAATTTATACTAAGATTGTAGGTAGTTATTCAATGGCTATGAGTCACTGCAATTTTGTTGGAATTATCTAAATTAGTAACTGCATGTCTATCCTACTTAAAAAACATGGCATTTAATTGACATTCTTCAAGGCAGCTTTACTGCATTTTTGTGTATCCTTTTTTTTGAGTGATGGCATTGTTACTTTTTTCTCAGTGCAAACATTTTTGCAAGATGCATTGCTTTTTGAACTGATTATGGTTTGTCCCATTCTAATTGAGTTYTGTGTTGCCTGTTGTTGAAGATATGTAGGGTTGTCATTTTGCCCATTACATGATCTCACTTGACAAAAGTGGTTCTCCGCACAATCCTGGTTGATGATTGCAGGCTTGATAACTGAACTGGGAAATAAGGACAGCTTGTAATTTACTAAAGACTGAAAGCCTAGGCACATGCACTGTAAGTCAAACCACAGCTTGCTCGAGATGAAGTTCTTTTCTTTTCCCTTGCATTCGTTTGCCCATTCAGTTATCCAGACATGGAACTGACTGAGTGCTTTAAGTCGATGATCATGTGGTGTGGTGATATACAGTCGGTCGTTAAAAAGGCCAACAAGCTTACTGGTATGCCTTAGAAGATTTATTACTCCATTCAGCTCCCCATTTTTGTTTGTGTTCTCTTGATATTGCTAGACAATGAATGTAAATATTTATTGATATTAATATATCTATTCAATATTAGTCCATTCATGCAGTCAATTATTTATTTATATCCCTATATTTTGGCATTATGATCTATTATTAAGTGTTCTACTTTTTATAAAAGGTTTAGTGAGTCAAGAATAAGTCTTAATACCTCCATTAGAAAAAGCATCTTGTTATCGAGGACATCTTCTGCTAGTTTGTTGCGCATTATACTTGCTGTATCTAGGTCCATGTGTTGGAGTTAATTTCTCGTGGAGTGGTAGAGAGAAGCTGTCTTGATCCCATTCATATGCCTCTCGGAAGTATTTCCAAACAATGCTTTTCCCGCCTATTTTCAGGCATCTAGGCTTTTCAGTGAAGTTTCTCTTGAATACATTGTTACGTATTTTCTTAATGTTGTGCTGATTAGATAAAAAGATAAGATAAGATTAAAATAGTGTGAAATAGTGTATGAATGGATCATGTGCAGTTACCCAAAAATAGAGTGAGACAGTATACTTTATACTAAATTTAGTAAATTTAGTAAATTTGTATCTTGATAATAATAATATTTACTTTCAAAATTGCAATAATGCTTATCATATTACTGAATTAACTAAGGGGTTACTGCATGAATATGGGTTTTSTAGTAAATATTTAATTGCTTATCTGATTATTGTAATATTACCTTTGGGACCATAATAAATATCATTGGATCGCCAGTGAAAATGTTCATTATAGTGAATTTCTTTACAATATAGTCGTCTTTTCCTTTAAAGTGCAACTGGATGAACTGTCTGTTACAGTCTGCACCATCCAAGATACACCAATATATACTGTTTAAAGATAAGCAGTTGAAATATAAATTAATCCTGATAATCCTTATATTTTTGTTTACAAATGTRATTTAATAAGTGGACACACATGCACACAGTTGCTGGGGAACAATTAACAACAAAAATCCACTTAAATTCTGAGTAGACGTCAATTGCATCCCTTAATCAGAGTGATAACAATTAAATCTACATCATGGACATATAGATCACTCCAGATTTACATTTATGCCATGATCCATAGGCAGGTATATATGCATACTTACCTAAAACCATATTGTAGCATTTTAAGTACACCATCCCAGAAATTGTGGTACAGGTCTGTTGGAGAACAACTAGCAGATGGCCATTGTGCAATTGGGAAGCGAAAACCTCCATCGCTCAAAAATATAAATTGCAAAACATGGGTTGCAATTTCAGGGTCATCACCTTGACCTAGAAAAATTTATACAAAAATCATCTATATTGTCAAAGTTTGTTGTGATAAATTGACAGCCGTGATTATTGATGAGCAGAATATGTGTCAAATTGTTAAAAGTGGTCATGCATACCATACCTGACAAAGTTCGCATGACATCATGTCCTTTCCCCAAATTCACAAAACCAACTAGCCTATGTTTTCCCCCAATACTAGACATTTCAATGTTCTCCTGAAAATTTAGAATCATTATAATGAATGGAATCCAGCTGGCTATAAGCACATTGAAAATTACACAAAACTTACAAATTGTAGCTTTCAAGTATAATATATAATCAATGTTAGAAATTGAATTTTTTAATTGTTGCAAATGGAATTATCTAATTGAAATTCTTGTGAAATAGGTTAAAAATGGAATGACACATTTTTATTATGTTGTTCCAAGTAAGTTTTCTAGAATTTAATTTTAGCCACAATTAATTTGAGCATGTACAGTCATACTTATTTTGTTGGCTTGCAAGAAATTATATATAGCCACACATAATTACCTGAATTTTCATCTCATCGATAACAAATCCTCCGTAGTAGTCACATGGTTTTAGATGTGCCTCATGTGCTGCCTTGGCACACCAACGTAGGACCTCATCATTCCAACCAGGGGACTCCTTTACTTTGTTCTTGTATAATCTTCAATTATATATGAAGAGGAATTGTTACTCCAAAAGTGATCAAGTGATAAGTATTTTAAAGAACTTTGATAATTCACTTTGAGGCACAGTCAATGAGCACTTATGACCATGAATGCAACCTCCATTATCAAGCAGATCATTGGAATAATTTAATTATCTATTTATTTTAAAACATGCTTTCATGACTATAAAAGTTTGAAATTTAATTATATTACCTGATTGTTTTGTTACTTGGAAGAATCAGAAATTCTCTTAAGGGATCCAGTACATGTGGGTTTTTACAATATAAGTCCAGGCATAATCTCATTATTCTGTTTGAAAGTATAAATATGTACAATTTTATTGCATGACTCAGTGGCTATAATACTAGCAGATCTTTGTTCTGCAACTGTCTGGGAACATTGATAATCAAGCAATCATAGTGCAGCTTTCAAGAAAGATGAATAGCCAGCTATAATATGCATATGTATATCATACAATTAGCTCATTACTTACTTAGGATGCCATCGATAAGCATTTGAGTTTTTACATTCGAGCAAGCTCTTCTGTTGTTTCCATAATTCTTCCATTCCCACTGGAATTGCCTTGGAGTCATTGTCATAAAAGATTTTTATGAGGTCATCGTTGTCATCGCTTGTCATTTCCAGACATTCTTTCTCAAACTTTTGAGTCCAGTATTTCACCTTTTTTTCAGCCATTTTCCTTTTCTTTTTCTCTTGTTGTAATTGCAAGATGATATCATCTTTCGACAGAAATCTTTTGTTTGTCGTTGCCTGTGGTGCACCGCTATTTTCATTTATTTGATGTCTTTTCTCTCGTTTTTTCTCGCGCCTCTCGTTTTCGTGACACTTCTCACATTTCTGGTTAGGTGTGCTGACAACTATTTGGCATTCTGGGTGTATGTTGTTGCCAGACTGCTGGATAGCAGCGCAACGGCCAGAGACTTCCAGTAGATCGAGTATTATTGCAATCTGCCGAGCTGAGTACCGAACTCTGTCCCAAATCACCGAAAGAGCTAAAACATCGTTAAGGGAGCAGCATCTGCCAAGATAGCTCAGAGTGAATTCATTGACTTGGCTGGACATCATAACTCTCAACTCTGTTGTCGACCGTCCACCCTTATAGAAGCTGTCTCCCAGATTTACGAATGAAATGTCGTTCTCGTTGTTTCTTATGAAGGTCCAGCCTTTTCTCTGTTCCAAGTTATCATCAAGACAATTTTCTTCCCTGTCCCTGTATCCCAAATTGCTGTAATAGTACTGGCGGTTCTTCTTTGGTCCTCTTTTAACGAGACGAACATCCTCCCAGATTTGAGAAACAATCTTTCCAAAGAGAGACGAGTTTCCATCGGTTGGCATATTTTCCTTGATTGATGTAGATAAATCAAGTATTTCTTTTACGGCAATCAAGCTTCATTCGCCGAGTTTAAAGTTCGAGATAAACCTACAAAACGATCGTTGTGCATAATAATCGCGTAAGCTTGAAAAGTTTCAATTTAAAATCTGTACGATTGAATACTGAGATACACTATATAAAACTTACCACGTCTTCCATTGTAGAGTCGAAGACATCTTTGGTCATATTATGTATTAAGAGAATTGTATTGGATCTAAAACAACTAAAATTTTTGTTTAACCGCTCCACTGACCGTTCGAACAGGGAAAATCCTAACGAGCTTTGTAAACAACACCTCTTCTGATTTCTGATTGGCTGAGCTGCGCACCAGGGGACCCCTGTTAAATTCCGGAAATCTGACGCTGTCTACCCCTGGTACTAGTGACAAAACCTGACCGTCATGCAACGCGCGCTTAGAGGTGTCCATGGCGGCTGTCCGAGCTGTGAGCATTAACGGAAAGTGGTTTTGAACTTGCAGAGTTTTCGTTCTGGCATGGGGATTTCATCAGGAATGGCCCTTTGATCATAATGGGAAGAAGCAGTGGTATCTCTTCGTGGCTGTGACTCAAAATTGTGGTCGTGGCTTTATTTTTTCATGGATTTATTGACCTCGAAGTTGAGTCCGTTGGCGAAATGAGTGTTCGGCCTTGTCATTTTTTATAGGTGGGGGAAAGAAAATTCGAAAACCAGGTAAAATCGCTTCCTAACGGCTTCAAACTCCGCCAAATGATAAAAGACACAACAAGTTATCAAGGTGAGTCATTTTTATTCTTAAAAACACAAACTTAAAGAAATCAAATTTTGACCGTTAAGTCACATATAGATATTATGTAATGAGCTTGGGTTGCCTGTGTAGAAAGTTGAGTTTAGCAAACATAACAGTTATCCATGCATTTCCGGTTTGCACATCAAACCAGTTCAGACTAGGGACAAAGCCTTTCCTTGCTGCGATCATTCAGAGAGAGACTTATAGCCACTAGGTTGTACTAATCAGTGAATAAATTTGAAATGCAGACCATGAGGTGATGAATTAACACAAAGTTACGTAAAGAAACTATCTGTAAAACATCTGAATAATGAAAACTATATAGAAACCCGATGAAGATATTGACAATTGAATAGAACAGAGAGTTTTAGCGAGAATGGCCTAAAAAAAAAGAAAAAAGAAACTCCGAAATGTGAAGTTAAATTATGCCTTTTATAAAGAAAAGGCAATAAATAATGAATGTGGATGTCCTTGTTTATAAATACATGACCAATAGTACGAGGCTAGAGTTCTTCTGTACCAAAATCATCTGAAGTATGGAAATGTTTTTAACGTTGAAATTGCAATATTCGATACTTTTTTTCAAGTATAGATATGTATATAGGCTAGGTGAAATAGTGCTGTGTTTGATTGGAACGCTGGAAGAAGACTTGCCGACGACTGACAAAAACCTACAAAATTGATTTTAACTATGCATAAAAAACGCWTTCCTTTTTGCCTTTTCAGCTTTTTATTGAAACATTGTAATTGTAATTGTAATAATGCTTCTGATGATGTTTTTAGAACTACAAAATCCAATTGTAAAGTTAATGATAACCAAGAAAGAGCCTTTTTGTGATGAAATTCTTAATTGTCCTCAATCAACTGTAAGGTGTACTTAAATTTTGAAAAACCTTAAAATGTTAGAAAGCTTAGTACATTACTTGCACTTAATCCKAGAAAATAAAGAAAAATGAACAAATGTGCCTAGTAAGCTGTTTCAAAATGAAAATCTCTTGAAATTTGCAGATCATTTTTGCACAGTAACTTTTTTTTCGTACAATGTGTTACCTGGATCTTTGCTGAAAAGGACAAGTTCTTTCTTAATTTTAGTTTTCGCTACATAGATAATTATTTATGAAGTATGTACAAYTCAGCGTCGAGAGCGTAGAGTTTTCATGGTGAATCCGTGATAACTTACATTGATGAGCAGAGCGAGGAAAAGTCCTGACAGAAACACTGCAAATCAGAAAATAAACAATCACTTATAGAAAAGACATTTTCTGCAAATATAATATTTGTACTAACCAGAAACAAAAATATTTCGACGGAAAATCTCCATTTCCACAATCCGAGGAAGCACAATCGAAAATCGAGTGTCTCCCACAAGTTGTATAGATCCACTAAACTATTCGTTAATATATTATCAAATCTTGCGACAGGTGATAATTCCCCGGTGAGYACAMTGCAATWATAACTTCACTATTGTCATAGCAACAAACAAACTTCCAGAACAGACCATCGATTATCTTGAAATGATTGGTTGTTTCATCGCCCGAACTGCAGAAATTAAAAATAGTCACAAAACATGACTACTTCTTCTTTTCGCTCTATTGTCTGCCATTGTGAACGTCATATGACCGTTATCAATCCACAACGGTAACGGTGTCGAAAACAAGACTGATTGAAAGATCATGAAATTTTCTTTGTTAACAGAAGTTAGGGCATATATCCTTCTACGAGTTCTTGTATTGACAAAGCTCGGCTTGGTACTTAATTTACAGAATACGTCTCATTACCAGGTGTGCCAGGGGTTTGCTTTTAAATAAGAGCCTTTATTTGCCAAGAAACAAATAGAATAAYACATCTTTGAATATTCTAACAGTTTCCTTGGGGTGTTCATACAATTTTGCTGGCAATAGCCTTCTTCACAATCTTGAAAGCGCAAAAAAGCAAATCAGGACCACCCGCCTCTCCATCCGTATCTGCCCAGTCTCCATGGTTTGGCTTTTCATTGGTRGTCTGCTGAGTCCGACAGAGACTGGACTCTTAATGGGGAAATCCCAGAAATTATGTTCTAGAATTTGTTAAAAAGGCTTGGATCTTTATTGAGGATCTTTACAGAGGATCTTTTTATTACTATTATTATAAAAAAGAGCATTGCAAATATTGACTACTAATGTCTATGACATATCAAACATTTTTACGCAAGTATTTTTTCAGAACGATAGAGGTATCACATCAAAATGCGCCAAATTTCATAACCTATTTGAATTTGGCGGTAGGTTTTTCATTAACTAAATACGTTATGCACGAAGCCCAGTTTTTTGAAGCGAACCGTGTTACGCTGGAGAACAACAGGCATAAATCGCTCGAAATTGAAGGAAATGGCCTTTCTTTTATAAGGGAAGATGGTCGTATTGACATGATATCTGGGTAGGAACACATCTATATTTGTCCTTTTTACGATGACGCAACTTATGTCCAGCCCTTGAATTATTATCCAATTAGCAATCAGATCGTCCTTGATACGTACGTCACATGTGACACCTATTATCCAATCAGCAATCAGGTCGTCGAGACTGAAATAGCGTCAACGCATGCAGTGCTCGACGTAGATAGCTAGATACTCCGATTTTTTGTTAAATGTGAAATGAGTTGCATTATTGAAGAAATGAGAATGCTTTTAGTATGAAATAAATGAGAAAACGACAATTTCTTTCAGTCAAAATGAGAATAACTTTTTGGGCGTCAACTTAGGATTGACGTCATTTGGTAATTGGTCCGTTATAGTGACGTAAGCTGTTATAAGGATTCCCACTGTTAATAAGAAATAGCCCTGGTACTTAACTACAACTGGTCACTTTGTCTTTTGCAAGTAAGGCGACTATCCCCGTCCTTCAGCTGTACTATTCAGATCCGTTTTCGTGTTGGATGTGATGGCACTTAAAGACAATAATAATCATGTTAACTGGTTTATTGACGATGAACCTATCAGGAATGCAGGTAAAATTAGCATTAACTTGAAATCAGGATAACACTTTCTTCTTTCCATTTTCGTACCTTAACCTAATGTTTGGGCATCGACATCCATACAGCTTATAGTTTTTCAGAATAGTTTTTTGGCATTTTTCAAGGCATTAACATTTATTGCATAAGAATTTTCAATTACGAGTTTGTTTATAAACATGGTAACCATTGTCGATTACAGAACTGATTTCCACAAACATTTTCTTYAACTTTGCAGCATCTTAAATTCAACAGAATATACGCTTATGGCATTTTTAGAAATATTATCTTAATTCAGCAAGTTGATTTTGAGGGAACTGTGTTGTACTTTATCAGCGATTTCCAACTGGTTTACATTGGGTAATAAAAAAAAAACAAACAAAAAAAAATTTAATAACCAATAACGACAAGCCTTACCTTGTCAACGATACAAGAATTGTTCCTGTCTCCGTATTCCTGTTACCGGCCGTTCATTGGTTCAAGGGATTCTGTGCCAATGAGTACTCAGTACAACCAGTAATTATTATATAATATTGTTATATGAAGTACTTTTCTAATTTTTCCCATCCAATGGTTCCTTTCTGCAACCTTTTTGAACCCAACAATCTTCTTCTYCTCAGTTGTTGATGTCATTCGCTTTGCAAGCATTAAAAAGGAACCATCGTTCATCAGTGATGATGAGAGCCAAGAGTCATTAGGTAGTATCCCTAAATCTTTTAGCAATGCTTTTTACCCACTACTACCCATAATAAACTGCATTCCCTGCCATTGTATCTTAGTACACATCGACTAATTAGCAAATTTCTCATSCTCCTTCAACATACGCTGTCATGGATATTCACTTGAAGTCAGTTGAATTGCGTTGATGTGATGGTCATTAAAGTAATTTTTTTTTTTACAGTGAGTTCGCATGAGCATAACTCGGTTTTTGACAACGAGCCTGGCCAACAGACCCTGATTGGTACAGAAACAAAGTTCATTGCTTCCATCGAAACCCACACAGACAATGAGGCTTCATCCCTCGCGGTACGTTGTCTTTTGATTTCTCACATCCAAAAAGTACAAGAAGTCAGTCATGTATTATTAAAACTATAGACTTGCGAACGTAGAGTTATAAGCAAAATAAAGGCGAGTTAGGGAACKAGCCAAAGTCGACATAATTATGACCAATGCTTGCATTTTGTAGTGTACACAGGTCAGCAGAGCTGGAAGCAGTTCATCTTTCAGATCCAAGGTACCAAGTGGTGCCGTGAAGAATGCTTGGGGGAGTTCATCGTACTCCGATCTCATCACAATGGCAATCTTGTCGTCTCCTTCCAAAAAGATGACTTTACAAGAGATTTATGAATGGATTGGGAACAACATCCCTTACTTCGGTGACAAGAAGGACGTGCGTACCACTGCTGGATGGAAGGTACTACGCCATAAAACTACCAACAATCATTATGTTTCTCGCGATCATCGTTATCTTCTTGATACTAMTAGTTTATACAACTAACACTTTCATTTCCGATTTTAGAACAGCGTTCGCCATACACTGTCCATACGAAAGAAATTTATACGTCTTCCCAACTATGAATTAGGTAACATCAACTACAAGAGCCAATGGACTATTAACCAAGGAGTTAACCCTCCAAGAAAGCACAAGAAAATCTACCAGGGTAACCACATCAGRGCAGTAGGCRTACCTGCATGGAGGAGGCAGAATGACGTTGTACCCTGGCAAACGGGTTCTCCACCAGTACTGCAGAATGTGTACTGCTCACACTGCGGTCACGCAAGTTTGATTTCAACAAGCAATCAGTATTACCATCACGCAGAGGACACCTACCACGGCGTCATCAATTTGTGAGAAATTGCTAAATTTTCGTAGTTATAGGAAACCCGAGCGGAATACTGTCGTTTTCCCCTGTAACAGGAAAAAGCCATTTTCCGACGTTCAATTTGAATGCTTAGAATCATTAGTCAACAGTTGTGCTTACTGAACTAAAACTTTTCAATCATTTCCAGATTTAAAGGTTTGACGGTGAGAAAGATTGATAGGCAAGACCCATCTTAATTTAGGCTAAAGATTTTAACATTAAGTCATCTTTCAAATTAGAATTATTTGATGGTGGTGGTGTCYCCCCGCGTCGAATAGTTCAAGCTTTCCTAACTGTTTATTTTGTYCACCAAATTCATTATTTATTGATTATTAATTTGTAGCTCGTAGTTTTGAAATAAAGGCTCAGCTTTTAATCATTTACGGCGTTGTTAGGCATGGARAGATTGGACGATKACCACATCTACTCGTTTACAACGTGCGGAGACGAGTGGTTTGGTTTTTAGCCCCCTCCCCCCAAACAAAAACACTAGTCAACATACATTATCATTACATTATCAAATGATTTCATTGATCATATCTTTCAGTCTATATTTGGTAGAGTATATGAGCCACCCATAAGATGAAAAAAMCATTCGTTAGCTGTATCTGAGCGGGCTCTCCACCCTTGGGAAAGTTCTAATTTAAGTGATATCAGCTGGGATAGTTCTTGTTGGTCTTTCTTWGCGGTGTCCATGTCCTGTAACGTACGTAGTTTAGATTTGAGTTGCTGTGTCATTCCTTCGGGTGCACGGCCTAAGTATTGCAATAACATCATGTACCTCTCGACGAACCAAGCGCGCAGACTCAAATATCTGAAAGAGAAAAGTTCCGTTGTTGAGCGACCTAACCTTGTGACTACCAAACAAATTCTTGGGTGGCATAACTCCCACAAACTCCATCCAGCATGTTTGATGTTAAATCAAAAAACAACAACCAGGATCATAAGGTGTTAAAACGCCTTCAACATCCATCCAACATGTTTGATACTCCGTCCATGAACAGCCAACACCATTGTACGCCGTCTATAGTCGGACTGTTAGGATTTACAATTGAAGGGGTACGTGCATGTATTGTTTAGCATCAAAATGATCAATATGGACTATTTTCATAGCCCTRAAGCTTGATTGAAATACCGTTTCCCTTACCGAATGCGTATGTCAAAAACCAAGGTTTGCCAGTAGGTATGAAGAGTTCCAATTAATGAAGTGTTGGCCAATGGGTCGTTGCAGCCTCGAATTGCACTTAAAGAATCATTGTCAACTTATCAGTACCAATCACTACAACAATAACTATACAGGCCTGGATCAAGCATTTTCATCTTGCTGCAGGTCACAAGATAACACACAAGATCGGGTCTTGCAAAATAAGCCCCCCCCTCTTTCCAAACACACACACATTTGCTGGATTTGCCACTTATTACTGAAGTCATCATCCAAGCAATGAAAAATAATAATAATAACAAAAACTAATAATTAATAGCTCACCATTTAGCCATGATGACAAACCGGTCAACAGGTGCACCAAGGTCATCATTGACAGCCCGTACAGTGTTCAAATTTCTGAGATAAAAATCGAATATYTTAATCAAAAGTGGTTTTGAAATCAGTAGTAAAATAAAGGATAAAGACAGCAAGTGATTTTTACRACGTTTCGAGGTCATACTGTCCTCAAAAATCATATTGTCCTCAAAAATCGAATAATTACTACAAACTACTTTCCAACTAGTGGTTATAACATCACTCTTACCTAAAGACAAGAAGCATAGTTCTTGGTAGCTGTTTTAGGATAGTTATCACTCGTTCAAAATGACCTTGAGCAAGTTTTGTCATGATTTCAAAATCTTCTTCTGTCACTTTAGTTGTAAACAGTCGGCCTGCACTGCCCCAAGCAAATGGTCTTTGAAGAAGAATTTGTGTGAAATTCTCATAATCTAAAATAAAAAAAATTGAAGAAAAAAAAAAAAGAAAAAGAAACGTATTAAGTAGGGTTTTACAATGAAAATTAAAACCAGAAGCCAAAGGTAGGAAACATACCATCAACCCCTAGTTCTTGACTGTAAAACTTCATTTTGTCTTGTCGGTTTAGCACAATGGACTCCCACAACTTGCATAGGTTTACTCTATCTCTATGGAAACAAGAATACCATGACTTTGAAGGCAATATATCATTACTAAGGAATTCAGTCAGACATCATGTACCTTTGTTCAAGCYGCTCATACAACCCATGGTCTAAAATTACTATTTCTGCTTTCTTGTCTTTTCCTGGGCGAACAAAAACTAAAAGAACAAGAATTCCCTTCTTACAAGTGATATCCTTACAAAATAGACTGTGTTCAATAAAGAAGACTGCCCATACCATTGGCTGCATGAGGGTCTCCATGTAAAAATCCAGATTGAAAAATCTGTTCTCCAAATGCTTTTATCATTTTTCCTGAAACCTGAAAAAAATATAAATAGCAGTTTAATCACACTTTGGTTACAAGTATCAATGAGAAAACTGTTTCCTAAACAGTTGAATTGACTCACATCGGCAACATCAAGGCCAGCTTGTTGCAATTTCTCAGTTTCATCAACCCTACATCCTTCAATGAACTCGGTTGTCAATACGCGCTTGAAGAGAYRCAATGTAAAAAGTCATTATAAGTCAAGGTAACTTGAAATTGATTTATTCCCATGATATTTAATGAGCAATGTTGTTAGTCTAACCTTACTGGTCCACTTCCAATATATCTTTGGTACATACACAAAACTAAGGTCTGACAAATCTTCAGCACATCTTTCRCCATTTTTTCCTTCATGCTCAAAGTCAAGTTCTTGTTTGAGTGTGTCTTTTAGATCCTGTAATCAAAATAAGGAAGTTTTTAATACAGACTTTTCTTTTTCGCTATCAGCTGCTACTAAGGTTAGGTTGCCCAAAGACCCATTAGGGGTTAACTCCATGTGATGTTTAATAATTAGCTCTTAGATTAGAGCTCATAAAGCTTTGAACAGTGTGGCCCTGCATCACTGTCAGTGCAGACAACAATGATGCTCTCCATTRAAGACTAACCTCTAGAACCCATGAGAAGGTGAACATTGGGTGCATCCAACTGATGACTTTTAGAAGTACTTTCAATGTCCATAAATCCCCTTCATAACGATCTCTCAGGTCAATATATTGGATCTAATACAATTTAAAAATAGCAAATCAACAATGATAAGGCAAAGYGTATATCCTAMATCACAAATCCAACCTTGACAGCTAATTTTGTACCATCCTTAGTAACAGCCTTATGAACCTGTGCAAGACTGGCTGCCGCAATGGGTTGAGAATCAAATTCTTTAAATAGTTCACATGGTTTTTGACCAAAGTCTTCCAGAAACAGCTGATCCACTTCATCAAGCTGCCTTCTCAATGCCTGTTTTAAAACATAAATGCATAACCACCTAGTAATTACAAATAAAATCTTTATGTCCATTCAGTTTTTTTGTGTCTTGTCATCATTTTTGTAGCCTTAAAAAAAAACACACTTAACCAGTCTGGATACATGTAGTGTACAACATGTTCATGGTGGATAAACATACTACTACCTATTTAGCCACAGAAGGGGACACACTSATGAAAACATTTTGAGTGTTTCCATAGTGCACTGCATGTGTCTGTTTGGACCGGGCCTTATAAATTGTAGAAGGAGTCRGAGGGCTAGAGAGTGTGTCTTATTCACATTGTACAGAAGATTATGTGACTGGTAGAAACAAAGCAGGGAAGAGTGGACCATCACAAATGATACTGTCCGACCACACTGTATGGATTAAATAACTACTTACCTGGTCTCTTAGGACTTGCAGGGTGTCTATGTATTGCCTTGGTAAGATATGGTTAAAGCATGCTAAACCTTGTCCAAGTTTGACATAAAGACCTCCATTTTGTATTGCGCCAACAACTATGCGCTCTGCTGCTCTTTGGTGACATTGATTAATGGCTTCTTTGTAAGCTTGGCTTTCCTGTATTATATAAAGACAGTCGTTGATAACTTGATTTTCATGTCAACACTTATGAGAACAGCCAATAAACAAGTCAGTTTGGAGGAAGGAATGAAGTGATTAATGATATCAAGACAAAACAAGAATAGTCTTCTTTACTGGTCTGTCTTGAAAGGTAACCTTTACTTTRCATAAATCAGGCCATTTACATAAATTRAAGATGGGGGCAGGGATATGAATGTGAACTTTGGAACTTCTGACGTTTGCTGATATTGAAAAAATAATTATAATAAAAAAAGAGTGTTGTCTTACAGGATCTAAGCCATAAAGCGCCCACCAGTAATCTACAGATATTGTTAGACCAATGTGGAATGATCTACAGAAAAAAAGGGGGAAAAGATAAATACTTAAGCTTACTATTAACTTTAAGATTGATAAAGCAACTGATGCTAAACTGACAAAAATCACAAAAAGACTTGCAAATACCTAAAGAATCGACCGATTCCTTCAATGCCAACCCTTATTTTTCTTCTGTTGATAGGATCCCATGGCTGTGCAGCGTATATTGAATATCCTAAGCAACCTGTAAATACAACAGTTGTAATAYTCCTCCGAGCACTCAGCTGTGATCGTGTAGCTGGACCTGTTGCCCATCTAATATCATGCTGACGGATCCGTGCTCTGATCCTGAGAAAATGTTTATAGTGAGCAATTCTCAAGTGTCCAGGATGATATAAGCTTGATAGATTAAAGAGAGAACGAAATCTCATGATTTTTCTGACATATTGAAACGACAAAACATGCAAGTCAATATAAATTTAGTACTCATGCCCACTCGTACACAGGAAGCCCACATAACTTGTTGCAGTTAGAGAGAGCACCTACCGTACCGCCGGATATCGCCGCGTTTTAAAAATGTCTTCAAATCTCAGTCATCTGAAGGTAAGCTGAAAATCAATGGACTTAAATCGTTGCAATGATGCATATTATTGTTTGAGGTATTGCTGATTTGCAAAAAATTAATCCCTTTATTGTAGCTGCACAGCTAGACTAAGTTTAAGTATAACTCGATGCTATATTTTAAGCTTATTTCTTGCTCTATTTATCATAATTCTAATCCTAAAATTTGTTACGAACGTGATCTAGTTAAAGAGAATACGTAAGAAATAGGCCTTTTTTACATAAGAAAGATTCCGAGTATTTACATAATTTACGTACAAGTAGCTTACATGTAAAAAGGTAACGTAATCAGTGAGTTAAGTATTAATTAAGCAGTTGTCACATAATGTACGTTGGACATATTTTGCTCTATTTTAATACTGATGCGTATTCAAAAAGGTGGGAGGGAATTTGGGCACTGACATATAGATTCTGTCTTTGACTGTCTGACCTTTAATCCACGCCTGCATCATGATCATGCATCTATATCATTTCTTTCTTCATAGTGCAATAGCAAAGTGCTCACTGGGGATCATAATGATCAAAAGCACTGGATCAAAAAAGTAAGACTTTATTAATACTGATTAACAACAACTCAATCAAAGTGGTGACGTGGTATTTTTAAGGTAATCTGGGCTCATAGGGGTGCTGAGATCTGCATTTGTCCAGGTCCATTAGTAAAGTTTATCATCAGGATAAAGCTTTTATTGGACAGCCATCAGACCAGGGTGGGGGGAAGAAAGGAGGCAGAGATGCATTACCATGAGTCTTTATTATTGATGGTTAATATTTTGGTCATGATTATTTATATTCAATAATATTTTTTAAATTTATCATCTCTACCCAGATGGGTGCAAGAGCACATCTTAGGGCCATAGGTTATAAGGTATGCATGAAAGGAAAAAACTGGAATTATTCTATAACCCTTAACCACAGTGCCTGCAGTTGCAGGCATGTTATTTATTTATATCATTGCAGGCCTCCAATCTTCTGATTATCTAATTTTCAAAAAGGAAGGCAACTCTTTAATGTCCTATATTCATTTCAGGATGAAGATTTTGCAAAACCCATCATCACTGTAGCTTGTTCTTACAGCAATATTCTTCCTTGTAATTTCCATTTTAGGTGAGTTTTGAATGAATTTATGTATTAGTTTCCATGTAAGTGATTGACTGACACATGACATTTGTTTGTTGATATTGTAGAGAGTTAGCAAGTGATTGACTGACACATGACATTGTTTGTTGATATTATAGAGAGTTAGCA